CGTAAATATATGTATGTGTAGCATTACTCGTCTAATGTTCTTGCCAAAAATTCCAAACACATGGGGTAATACAGGGGTTTACGGACACGAAGTTCACGAGAAAGCCAGCAGAGCACATGAGGTACACGCATTGTGCGATATGTATCTTCGGATTACCTTCAGATTCTTCTTCAGACTCACCCTCTATGTCGATACTGTTGTGACCACGAGGGAATGTTGAGTATGATGATTATTTAGGAAACATAGGATAGACTATGATTTGTTCTAGGTTGCATTGTAATCCAAGATGGTCATGTACTCCTGTATATATGACCAGGAGGCTCAAGCAATAAACATCGTTTCCATCAATCCCCCCTCTATTCCTTCTACAATATATACCCTCTCTTAGATGCCAAAGTATTTAGAAGCCATGATCATGTTAGGAAGAAATAACACTCTTAAGATTGTCGGAACACATGACATGTTTAATTTTGTTCTACCAAATATCATGCAATTTACACAATAATTAAAATGTTTAATTTGAAATTTCTAAATTAAAATTTCACATAGAGAGTGAGAGAAACAAGTCTACTAATAACCATGAGATCATAGGTATGTCGGCAATACTACATATTGAAAAGAGATGTTCTAATCAGTAATTGTTTGACTTGTCTATGAGACTAAATGTATTCTTACCTATTAAGACATAGTTTTCAAGTAGTAACTCAATTGTCAAATCAGACATATAAGATTGGATGGCTACGATTAAGCGCACCAAATTCTAACTCATACTATGGATGTGGTTGCACTTAATAACAAAAAGAATTGGATAGCAACTATGACATGCATTTAGAAAAAGATTGCTGGATGTGGATGAACTGACATAATGATGCACGCGTACGATATATTTGGATAATGTACACGTGTATGATATATTTGGCCAACAATTAATGGTAGGCATAAGTTAGGCATTTGTTAATTATACATTGATTGCTGATTAAAGACTTGACGGTTTGGATATACTTAAATAGAAAGGAATGTAACTTTGGATCCTAATTAATTTGAATGTGTGGATAAGGATGTACACTAACTTCTGATGTAAACCGTGAATTGTATAGAACATAGACAAGCTTCATGTTTCTGGAGATGGTGTTTGTGTTTTTATTTTCCTTCTATATAAGGGGGGTTCACCTCCTCGTATCTCCAAGTAAACTGATGTTAGCCAACAACAACCGGAAAGATATCTTTTGGTAGATACTTGTAGCTTGCCATCTGTAGTTGTAAGTCCTTCAGTTATCCATTTGAGTATGCTGAGGCAGGAGGTCCTCTTGGGGGTCTGTCGCATTGAAAACGACAAAAAACGCAATGACACGTTCACCAAGCGGCATGCTAATTTTTTCAAAAGTGCCAGTAACCTCTCCGCTCTCACGGGCGTGAGGGTTGCTGTCATCCTAGAGAAGGAATCGGGAAAGATGCATGGTTTTGGGATGCCGTTAGTGGAACCCATTGTTGATTCTTTCCTGTCAGGAGATCCACTTATCGAACCGCTTGTCGATGAACAAGCGAAAGATAGGATTGTATTGCTGCAGAGAGAGGTGACTAGGTTGGACATGGAGAATGCAAAGCTAGATACGAGAGCAAACCTCTCGCTGCAACACATCAAGAAGATCCAAGCTCAGAACCCAAGGTTGCCAGCAAATAATATCTTCTCCAAGGGAGAAGATCTTAGTCTTGAAGACCTAACCAACCTCTTCAATGCCCTCTTGCGAGTCAAGGAGGTAATTAGACGACGTCTGCCTCCACTACAACATGGCCATGAACCAACAACTGGTGGTCCAAACGTGCGGCAAAACTGGTTGCTACCAAGTGGTCCTTCACAAGATCACCCACAGATTCATCAGACTTCACAAAAACCATCTTCATCCCACAATCTTCCACCTCAGGTGATGCCTCCAGTTCTAGTACCATTAACACCACAACGCACTATGGAACCACATTTTCCTATGCATTTACCACATATGTTCTAGTCCGTACCATCACCTTTAGCACCCGATTTGGCGTCCCTCCGACAAGCAGTTCCTGGTCACGTATAAGATTTCCATCCACCTCTTTATCCACACCTTTAGAACTATGCAAGTCCTTAACACAAAATAGAACCACCTTTTTACCATGCAAGTGCCACAAATGTTACAGTCTACATCACCACCTTTAGCTCCCCAGTTTACCTCCGTCCTACAATCAGTTGTTGACCATGCAAAGGATTTACCTCCACCACTTCAACCACAACTTCAAGACTATGCAAGTCCGACAAGGCCATTGCAGAACAACATGAGCCCTAACTCAATTGTTGAGAACACTATGGACAAATCCCCACAGTTGTTCTACTCCGGTGGTAATGACACTTTCATCCATGAATCATTCGGCTATGATAACTTGGCTAATGCTCCTTTGGACCAGGCGCATGAAGTTCTAGGGATGGATTCTTACTTGGACTATAATATTAGTGATCTAGAGCAATATAACATGGAATGTGATTAGTGGGTCAATAATGCACCACCAGAATTTTCCGGTGGGAATGATGATGATATTGATGCATAATTTGGAGGACTACTTTAGATGTCGGTTGGTGCTTTCATTTGAATTACATCAAGGGATATTATATTTCTATTAGGTGTCATTGTTGATTGTCGATTGTACTATTAGTTGTCATTGTCGATTGTACTTCTTTATTAAGCTTCTTGGAGGCAATAATACACATTTCATGTTTAGGGCATTATGTCATGAAGTTTATTCCAATATGACAAAATCTCTATAATGTTTGGAGTTCTTCTTGTTGAATGAGTAGTTAATGTTTTTTATTGAGGAACAATATGTCATTTTTGCTTTCTCTATTGATGAACAAGAGGAATACATTATGTTTCACAATTATGTTACGCTTAAGTAACACATTTAAAACTTCTAATTTCCAATAAAGCCATGAGGTATGCTTGTGAAACAACTAAAATCTAGAATAAGTCAATACCACAACTTAGACATGACTAGCCACAAATGATAACAACCAATGTAATATTCATGTGGGACAATGGTAAGTTGAAAATGCACATGTGCATGTGAGAACAAAAGTGTGTGCGAATACGCAACCACACGTGAATATGCACCCACGCATGGATATGCGACCGCAACATTACTATATAGCATGTACCCACAGCTACCAACATAAAATACGCATCCGCATGTGGACACATGTCTCCTTCAAGTTAGTGTAAACTGATTTATTCTTAATGCACCATGTTTGTTCATTAATTATAATACAAACAAACATCCAAAGAAGCAATAATTCCGTACAAGCACACAACTACCAACATACAACAACAATTTGAATCATGGGCTCTCACAAAACATCTGGTATACCCAATTCCACTTAATGGTAGTATGGTATTTAGTCGTTACCTAAAATGAGAATAGTCAATATTGTTTTGAAGATGCAATGTGTGCCCCAAATACATAGATCGTTAACACAACACACACACACACACACACACTACAAACCTTAATTCAAAACACTCATCAATCTTACACGGCTAAAGCTACCCCATGTGTCACTTGGACCTCTCCCCCCTTATTTGGAGAAAGAGATATTGCCTCTCAATGTGTTTACTAAAGCTTTAGGTGATCCCTATGGCCTAAGGTTCCTCCAAAGGTTTGAGCAAGACTCGTCTACACAATCGAATGGAATTGTCCATAACATAAACTTTGTCTTGTCACCAACATCTCAAAGCCTTAAAGTGATTCCTCTCACAAGGCTCCTCTATCGGTCTTATAAAAATTCTAACATGTAGAAGTTTGTGTCATCCCTAACAACTCCTCCATAGTTTCCAGCCAAGCCGCGACCACACTCCAGAAAGGGAGGTAAATGCCCTTCTTTTCATGTGTCATGGTTGACCATGGTTACTAAACTTTCTAATGTGCCACTCATATTAGTGCCTGATACTTAGCAACACAACTATTTTTCAAGTCCTTCTACTTAATTGAGGAATCTACTCAATGCATGATTAATCTTTCCCTTAAGTTATTTTTCAGGATTATGTCCCACTAGTTTAGGGGGTCAAGTTTAGATGTTTTCAATAAGTAAGAGTATCGTGCCCACGAGGAGCCAAATGAATTGGTAGGTGCAAAGTATCAAGAATTCATTGTAAATGCTTAAAGTTGTAATGGTGTTCTGTTTGGTGATTGTAATGGAGCAATGAAACGTGATTAACAATAAAAAGTAAAAGAGTGTTGCAAGGGGACCAATCCTTAGTAATGCTAAGGACGAGCCAATTGTGTTACTTATTGACAGAGCATGGTGCCCCCATGTTTGGTTTTGGTAATTGATGACAATCCCTATGGACTAATGATTGCCTTGAGTTGTACTTGAAGGGTTTGTCCATAAGCACTACTTGAAGACCATATGTTGGTTTCGATGTTAGGAGAGGGAGATTATGGGTTGACCATGGTGTTATTCAAAGAGTTATGCAAAGTTGGTCTTATGAGGTGTTGAGCCTATTGCAGGCATGTCCTGAAGAACAAGATTGTGTGAACATTCGTGTTTACCTTCAAGGCATCATCTTAATGAATATAGAAGATAAGATACAAGATTCATCAAGTCAAAGTACAAAGAGTGGATTCAAGTTGATCAACACACAAAGCATAGAAGATGTACCAAGTTGGATCAAGTGATCTCATGGTATGTTAAGCATTGTCCATTACAATTTGTGAACTAACCCATGTTTCATTGGTTGGTGTTTCTCTGTGTGGATAGGTATTTTTCCATGGGCTTGCATCAAAAGAAAAATCTTATATAACCCATGGAAGATGACAAGTGGTGATCGTCATCAAGGTTGAGTTGTGCAAGTTCAAGTGGAGCATCACGAAGATATCACATGGTTGAAGCTTGCCATCCATTCTGGTGATAATGGACAAGTGAAGATGTGCCTCAGAAAGGTTCACCCATACTAGAGTATGGGGGAGAAATTTAATAGTCTTTAGCAAGCCAGCCCAATCAAGAAAGGCCCAGACATCATTTCAAGGCTTGGGGCTGTCGTTGGCCATGCGTTTTCGGCGACAGCATGACCGGGCGCTTCTGCATTCTCTAGCGAGAGAGAAAGAGGGAGGACGAAGGGATATCGGAGAGAGAGAGAGAGAGTCAGGCGTGCCGAGCTAGCAGCAACACAGGGATTGGGCTTGACATGGTGTCGTCGGAGGTGAGAGAGAGACTGTGAGGTAGGCGAGAGAATAAGTTTTTTCCATGGCCTTTTTAAATTTGTGTTTAGGCCCCACATGTAATGATAGAGAGGAGGTGTGTTGGTGTCAAAACCGGTGGATCTCGGGTAGGGGGTCCCGAACTGTGCGTATAAGGCGGATGGTAACAGGAAGCAGGGGACATGATGTTTACCTAGGTTCGGGCCCTCTTGATGGAGGTAATACCCTACGTCCTGCTGGATTGTTCTTGATGATACGAGTATTACAAGAGTTGTTCTACCACGAGATCGTAGAGGCTAAACCCTAGAAGCTAGCCTATGGTATGATTGTCTGTTGTCCTACGGACTAAACCCTCCGGTTTATATAGACACCAGAGGGGGCTAGGGTTACACAGAGTCGGTTACAAGGGAAGATATCTTCATATCCGTATTGCGTAGCTTTCCTTCCATGCCAAGGAGAGTCCCATCCGAACACGGGACGAAGTCTTCAATCTTGTATCTTCATAGTCCAATAGTCCGGCCAAAGGATATAGTCCAGCTGTCCGGAGACCCCCTAATCCAGGACTCCCTCAGTAGCCCCTAAACTAGGCTTCAATGATGATGAGTCCGGCGCGCGGTATTGTATTCGGCATTGCAAGGCGGGTTCCTCCTCCGAATACTCCATAGAAGATTTTGAACACCAGAATAGTGTCCGGCTCTGCAAAACAAGTTCCACATACTACCGCAGAGAGAATAATATTCGCACAAATCTAATCTGCTAACGCGTTCTGACAGCATGATGTCATGTCATGGCTCGGTCATTATTCGGACCGTTTTTCTCAACCAGCACCACACATAACATGGGGCGATTTTCTCAACACGTCTTGTCAAAGCAGAGATTGTGTCCCCCTTATTACGGGATTCTCATCAATACGGACGTGGGTAACCCAACCGCGCCATCAATTACAGCGGCTGGGGAATAAGCGGTTTTACCAGACAAGTGGGGAGACGCATCGCCTATTCGCCCTTATAAAGGGACAAGGATTTACTCTTTTCACCCACGCCTTCTTCCTCCTTGCTTACCCATTCCCGCACTCGAGCTCTAGCGCCCAAGCTCGCGTTCTTCTTCTCAAACCACTCCAAGCATGTCCGGAGTAGGAGGCAAGTGGATGGTCTCCTCCGTCACGGAGGAGAACATCAAAAAGTTATGGGAAGCCGGATATCTGGCCGCGGATATCGCGCATCGGCTGCCAGACGTAGGACGGATCGTCCCTACGCCCGAACCCCATGAGAGGGTAGTTTTTCTTACCCATCTTGTCCGCGGACTGGGATTTCCCCTCCACCCATTTGTCCGCGGGCTCATGTTTTACTACGGGCTGGATTTTCATGATCTGGCCCCCAATTTCATCCTCAACATCATGGCGTTTATCGTCGTGTGTGAGGCCTTCCTCCGCATCAGGCCCCACTTCGGCATATGGCTGAAAACCTTCAATGTTAAACCGAAGGTGGTGGGTCGCCAGCAAGCAGAGTGCGGAGGCGCCATGATGGGCAAGATGCCTAACGTCACCTGGCTCGAGGGCACCTATGTGGATACCATAAAGGGGTGGCAATCGGGGTGGTTCTACATCACCGAGCCGCGCAACTCCAACTGGGTGGCGGCCCCCAAATTTCGATCTGGAATCCCCATGCGGCTCACCTCCTGGAAAGAGAAGGGCCTGTCATGGGGTTCTTCGGTAGAGTTGACCGGACTCCAGACCTGCATCCGAAACATGACGAGTAAGAAAATCAAGCTCGTCAACGTGGTCCAGGTCATGCTCTTCCGCTGGATCCTCCCGTGTCAACGACGGGCATTCGATTTGTGGGAGTTCGACTCGGACAAGCACCAGACGCTGCGAGAGCTCTATGACACAACGCACGAGGACGTCTGGAGGGTGCTGTTCAAGGGCGCTGAGGTACCTCCTTCCCTCACCGAGGACCGCGGACTCAGCGCAAAGCGTCGCGCCAATCTGGTAAGTTTTTATTTCTCTTAG